AAGAGGCTGTTATTCTGGGTGGTTGCCATATGGTTTCTGTGTTCCGAGTGCTTGTTAGTGTGTTGCTATGTGGTTGCTAGGGTAATTATGTGGTTGCCAAGGTGTTGCTATGTGATTTCTAAGGTTGTATTTCTGGTTGTGTTTGTGTTGCTAGGGTGTTTTTGGTTGTTGCCATGTGGTTGCTAAAGGATGCTGGTTGTTTGTGTCTTGCTATGTGGTTGCTGGGGTGTTCTGGGTGGTTGCCAGGGCGTTGCTACTGTATGTGGTTTCTAGTGTGTTCTTTGTGGATGTGTTGCTATGTGATTTCCAGGCCTTTGTTATGTGGCTTGCTAAAGGTCCCCTGAATGGTTGTGTGTTGCAGGGTGTTCTGGGTAGTTGCCATGTGGTTGCTAAAGTGTAGTTGCCATGTGGTTTCTAAACTGGGGTGCGTTTCCCGTACAACGATGTATAATTCGCTGCTCCACTACCATAGTACGATGCACCGTTGAAGAAATCAACTAGCTAGTCACGACTGTTTCCCGAAACCATACTGTGCAAATTGGTCGTTCAACCTTGTTGGTTAATGATGTCACGCAGGTGTTGGAGTAATAACTTCTTTTAATGAATCTGTTTGAGATCGAATTAATGCCAGATGTTTTGCTGTAAATTACGGACATGGCATCTAAGGACTATCTCTTTTACTTAGTTAGTTTGCTTTATTTCCAGATTCATTCATAGGTTTGTTCTTATGTTACTAGATCACGTTCACACATGCAAATGCACACTTCAGTAACAAACAATGCTTTAACCTGTTAAGTGTCACCCCCCTTTTTTTGAATATACATGAAAATGCACATTTCGAACTTAAATGGTTGTAATTCAAGAATGCTTTGGAATATAGACGTAAGATTGGTCTCGTTTTAAAGAAGACATTTGGCAGATTTTTGTATAAGTGCAATAAATTAAGAAAGTGAAAAAGAAAAAAAGTTATAGAAGTTTGAGTTTATGAAAATGTACAATGTAAAAAATGTAATTATTCATATTTTATATAAAATATATATTTTCAAAACCTGGGCGACTCTAAAACTGCAACAAAAAAAAAGAAGAAAAAAAAGCCAAAAATCTGATCAAGTTGTGTTTCAAATTTTAGGTTGATAACTCAAAAAATTTGCTTTCAGTGGGATTTTGTTTGGGCGCAGTACCGAACTTTTTCACTAGATGACAACCAGACTCCATTACTGCCCATATAAGGGCGCATTCATTTCCATATGTGTTTTGAGTGATATGAACCGTTATTTCCACAATTTTCATACAATTTATGAAGTAGACATCCTATTCAGAAGTAATATGAGACGTTTGGCAGATTTTGATATGAATTCAACCTCTAAGAAACACATAAAAAGAACAAGTATGTGCGTTATAGCTTGCTGCCACATCACAAATGGTGAATCTATAATTTTTTTCTTTACATTAAAAAAAAATTCAGACCTTTTTTTCTAAAATAATTGAATGGATGCTATCTTTTGAACTCTTGGCATGAAAACAAACTGAGGTTTCTACCCTTCTTGATTTTTTATGTTCATCACTATTTCAAAATAAAGGTCTAAACACGCCTTAGGAATATGAAAATATTCTTGTTGCAAATTTATAAATTACGGCTCCTCTGTAATTTATTTTGAAAATCAATCACCAAATATGGAAACTAGAGATTGTAAGCTTTCAAATGATAGTTTGTCAAGATTAGTTTAGGTTTAGTATAGGACATTACTGTTTTAAAAATGTAATGGATTTGGGCCCACCGGTGGGCCGGTCTTGACAAACTAAAAGACGTAAATTACATGTATATGTTGACTATTCTAAATAAAAGATATAGTACTGAATGTCAGCTTGCTTATTTTGCTCAAGATAAGGATTTATTGAGTCCACATGTCATGCAAACAAGAAACTCTGCTTCTCACCACAGGAGAGCTGTCGTTCCAAACACACAACTTTGTGATGCTGTTTGCGAATGTTTGTTGTAACTATGGTTTCGGGCAAACACCGACTCGTTGAACTATGCTTATAACGACGAAACTCTCAACAATAGTTGGCTAACGTTGCTTTTGGGAAACGGACCCCTGATTGGTTGTTGGTGTGTTGCTATATGGTTGCTTGGGTTTTTAGGGTGGTTGCCAGAGCTGTATGTGATTACTAAGGTGTTCTTTGTGGTTGTTAATGTGTTGCTGTGTAGTTGCTAGGGTGTTCTATGTGGTTGTAGTGTGGTTGCTAAGCTATTCTAAGAGGTTATTCTGGGTGGTTGCTAGGATAATCCCATGTGGTTTCCAAGTAGTAGTCGTTGTTAGTGTGTTGCTGTGTATTCGCTATGTGCGAAGGTGTTACAAGTGGTCAACTGTGTGATTGATTGATTGATTGATTGATTTTATTTGACCACTCAAATATATATATATATATAAATGAAACAGTACTCTGTGTCATACATTAAAAATACATAAATAGTCAGGGATGACACAATAAAGCCCAAAGACTCATAGTGTTTCCATGCAGTTGCTAGGATATTCTGGGTGGTTGCCAGGGCGTTGCTACTGTATGTGGTTTCTAAGGTGTTCTTTGTGGTTGTTAATGTGTTGCTATGTGGTCGCCAGGGTGTTATCATGTGATTGCTATGGTGTTTTGAGTGGTTGTTTGTGTGTTGCTGTGTGAGAAGGTGTTACGCGTGGTCTCTGGTGTCTTTCTATGCAGTTGCTAGGGTGTTCTTTGTGGTTGCCAGGGCATTGCTACTGTATCTGGTATCTGAGGAGTTCTTTGTTGTTGTTAGTGTGTTGCTGTGTGGTTGCCAGGGCGTTGTCATGTGATTGCTAAGGTGTTTTGTGTGGTCACTGGTGTGTTTCTATGCAGTTGCTAGGGTGTTATTTGTGGTTGCCAGGGTGTTGCTACTGTATCTGGTATCTAAGGTGTTCTTTGTTGCTTTTGTTAGTGTGTTGCTATGTGGTTGCCAGGGCGTTGTCATGTGATTGCTAAGGTGTTTTGTGTGGTCACTGCTGTGTTTCTATGCAGTTGCTAGGGTGTTATTGGTGGTTGCCAGGGCGTTGCTACTGTATCTGGTATCTGAGGAGTTCTTTGTTGTTGTTAGTGTGTTGCTGTGTGGTTGCCAGGGCGTTGTCATGTGATTGCTAAGGTGTTTTGTGTGGTCACTGGTGTGTTTCTATGCAGTTGCTAGGGTGTTGCTACTGTATCTGGTATCTGAGGAGTTCTTTGTTGTTGTTAGTGTCTTGCTGTGTGGTTGCCAGTGCGCTGTCATATGATTGCTAAGGTGTTTTGAGTGGTCACTGGTGTGTTTCTATGCAGTTGCTATGGTGTTATTGGTGGTTGCCAGGGCGTTGCTACTGTATCTCGTATCTGAGGAGTTCTTTGTTGTTGTTAGTGTGTTGCTGTGTGGTTGCCAGTGCGCTGTCATGTGATTGCTAAGGTGTTTTGAGTGGTCACTGGTGTGTTTCTATGCAGTTGCTATGGTGTTATTGGTGGTTGCCAGGGCGTTGCTACTGTATCTCGTATCTGAGGAGTTCTTTGTTGTTGTTAGTGTGTTGCTGTGTGGTTGCCAGGGCGTTGTCATGTGATTGCTAAGGTGTTTTGAGTGGTCACTGGTGTGTTTCTATGCAGTTGCTAGGGTGTGAAGGGTGTGAAGGGCATAAATGCTGTCAGACTCCAGGCAGCTGAGGATCGTTTGGTGATTTGTACTGGTTTCTCACACTTTCCCAGGGTTCGGCTCGCTGTCTGGACCTCTTAGGACATGACAAAAGCCAGGTCAACAAAGCCTAATTTATTAGAGGAGGACACAATAGCTGCTCTGAGGGAGAGGGGAGGCTCCTGCGTCTGTGTGTGAGAGAAAGAAACGGGGCCTAAAAATAATAATGAAACAATAGACAAACCCAAGTGTTTCGTTTGAGTGACTCCTTCCGTTTTTTTTTCTTTCTTTCAGATTTTCAGTATTCTTAAAAGAGTAAGTTTCACAAACCTGAATCCTATTTCACCCCAAGATCAGAAGAAAGAAATTATGTTTTGCTTAAAGCATATAAATCTGGTTGTAAGATAATGTTTTTATATTTTTTTTATTTTACCTTCCGCTATGTTTTGAATAAATACGTGCATGTTTCGGCAATTTTGTGTCTTGTTTATCATCATTAAATTGTATTACAGTGTTTCAGCCAATCTGCTCTACTGTATTGGCATTAAGGTATTAAAAAAAACATATATTTTTCATAACAATAAAGCCCCCCCCACCCCACACACACACACACAAATTCTAATTACTATAATGCAAAACAATCTAATTCTCATTAAAAAAAGATATATTATTTATAATTTAAATTATTTATGCATCATAGTTGTTTTATCTACTGCCTTCCATTATACTAGTGCTGTCAAATCAATTAATCGCGATTAATTGCATCTAACAAATATATATTTACAAACTTATGTAGAAGCGATTAATCGCGATTAATTGATTTGACAGAATACATTTATTCTGATTGAAATATTTTTTGTAATACAACAAAAATGATAATCTAATGGAAATTACAAAAAAATACTTAATGTCATGAAAATAATGCACAATTTAATTGACCGTGTTAATAGCACAATTTAATTGATTCATGTTATTTATGCAAAATATAATTTCTTATTTTTTTATTTTGATTTAAGGGTTAAAAGGTTTTGGTTAGATTCAGTAAGGTTTCTATGGCAAGTAAATTACTGTTTAAATTACTGTTTATTTGTGATGATTTAGTGCTGGTGACCTTTCCACTGTTTGATTAATTAATTTGACTCTATAAAAAAATTATCTCTCCTGCTGCTTAAAAAATATTATAGCATTGGAAATGAATGAATGCATTGCATGATTTACGTGATTAATTGAGCTCTAGGTACCAAATGCAGGAGAAGCCAGAGTCCTTTAAAATGATGCTTCCACTTTAATTATACGGTGTCACGCGGTGCTTGATTTTTCAAACAGACCTTTGCTTGCTTTTGTCTTCCGTCTCCCTCTTTACTTTTTTTCCAGCCGTCTGTTGTCCAGGAGATGGATGGTTTCTGAGGAGCATACATTACGGAGAAGCCTGCCACCATTGTGATTATGGCTGTAATGGCCTGTTTTTGATCAAATAACACCAAAGGCATCTCATTCGCACGTCTCTCGCTTTCTCGTGCTGGTGCACGGAGGAGGAAAAGGTTAGCATTGACCTGACACAGCTAATTAAAAGGGACAACGTTCAGCGTTAATATGACAAGACACAAACTGACAGTTGGCATGGAAATGTGCATACCAGATGCTGTGTGCACACCACCAGACATGTGCCGTTTTCTCACGTCCTTTGTTAAGACAATATGGTGTTTGCACACAGAACGGCATGGCAGATTTGCATGATTAACCTAGAAGTACATGATTTGATGTTACATTTTCCGAGGGAAAAAGAGTGCAAAAGTCACCTGCACAATCGTAGGTTGTTAAGTTTTTATTCAACAACATGAAATACATAAGTAATACTCGCTTGTGATTTTGCTAACAAGTCTAATTGGGACTTCAAAGATTGTCGGAGACATTAAACGTCATCACGCTGTCAACATACTAATCTACTTTCACAGCCTTTTTGTGTTTATAGTCACGCTCTTGCAAACTTATAAGTCAAACATTCAAGGGACATGTTTTTAGATAAAAACCGATAGAGTTGCCAGAAGCTTAATGGTTGTGATGTTGATGTGGTGTAGTTTATTTATAGCCTAGCCTACAAATTTCATAAAAGTTGTGTTAATTTGTGAAGATTGTCATTATGAACAAAATGTGTAAACGCAGACTTTTGTTGGTCACTTTTTGCAATTATCCAAAGGCCATTGGAAAAATCCAGTTGGGTTTTGTCGAGGGAACTTCTGGCCTGCAAAAAAACCCGTCATAACTGCGATGCTCTAGTCTATAGAACTAATAGAAAGCTTACAAAATGTGTTTTTAGGCACATTTGTGGCTTAAGGCCTCTGAAGCACTTCTGTGGCTTTAGATGGACACACACACAGCTAATCAGGACATGTTGAAATATCAACAATATCATTGAAAGTGAGTTTTCCGTTCACATCTGTTTCTTTTGGTCGAGGTAAACTCATTAATATTTCTTAACAATAGTGCTTCTCTTTCCTTTTGTTCTGTTCCCGTGCTCTGCCGTCTCCAGCCCCAATTAACAGAGCCAAAACAAGCAGGACCATTAAGACGGACGCCCACTGGAAGGAACCAAGAGGCTGCTGGGTAGGCCTAATACAAGTCCTGTGATCCTGTACTCATTCATCTTGTCAAATCAACACTGCTTTTGCTGTTCACTGGATGATGTGTGTTTCCTTTTGGAACATTCCTTAATAGACAAAAAGCCAGGGATTTTCCAGGGTCATATGATAACACTTGATTCTTGCAATGGCCAGATTGTGTTCTTGATCTGGAAGATTGGTCTCAATAATGTTCAGTTGTGTGTGTGTGTGTGTGTGTGTGTGTGTGTGTGTGTGTGTGTGTGTGTGTGTGTGTGTGTGTGTGTGTGTGTGTGTCAAGACAAACAATCAAAACAAAATCATCACTGGTTGACTTGAAATAATATCCCTACAATGGATTCTGTCAGATGATTCATTTAGAAATATGCATGCATCATGATTAAAGGGGCTATATGTAAGATTTTTTTCCATGTATTAATCACTTTTTGTATTGCCAATGTGTGCACAGTTTGTAACGAATCATAAAAAACAAGACCTTCCCTATAGAAAAGTCTATAAAAAGCCTGAGACTGATTTCTATGTGAAGGTTTCTCTGGGAAAATCCAAAGGATGTGACGTTTACACTCCCGATTCCCGAAAGCCTCTCTTCCATTCAATGACACATGAAACTAATGTTCAGGATAATGACGAAAGAGACATTCTGTTACAGTAATATCAATGTGTCATGCAAAAATAAGGGAGTGATTCAAACTATAGTCTCACATAGCCAGATCTATATAGTCTTTTATAATCAAACTATAATAACAGTGTAATTTGAATGACCTCATCTGTGGACATGATGCCGGTGAATCTCAGAGCTGCTGGAAACATCTCTCCTCACTGCTGTCATTTTTGTTGTGTTTATTTTGTTATTGAGAGGAAAGCGCAGCACATATTTATTCATCTAAATGTCACATGGGCGGCGTCTAGATGTTCATTAACAGTATATCACTGCAAAAGTATTTCCAACTCTTTTTTACTTCTAAGCAAAGAACAAAAAATAAGTTTTTGAGTATTTTGGTGCATTGAATCACGTTCAGTCTCTTGTACGTTACGTTGTGCACAAGTGCGATCACGAGCAATGATCTGCTGGCTGCAGTTCACTTAACGGCCACCGGTGTCGCTAATAACACGGGTTTCTGAATTTTACATGTAGCCGCTTTAAATATCATCCACCAGGGGGCTTTGTTATATTTACCTTTCATTCATGTTTTTGGTGAGTTTTGAAAAAGTAAGGGCATGTTTTAGCCATTTTTATTTGTCATCACTTTTTTTTTTTTTTTTAAACAGCCAAGTGAATGTTTCATTTCTAGTTTCATGTCTCGTTTCTTCTCACGTAGTATGATCATTTCAACCCATGTTGATGTGTTTAAGTATTTGGTTAGTGCATTGGGGTCCTGATTAACCTGTTTGGGTTTAGTTTGTGACAATGACCAGCTGACTGTACATTTTCTTAAAAAATTAGTTACTACAAATCCCAGAACTCAACATCTCAAAAGGTCAGGATCTTTTTACTGTTTTCCGTAATACGAGTATGATTTTCTCCATCAAATAATAAAAAAACTAACTCAAATGCTCTTAATGCTCTTCCTGCTTTGATGCCCAATCAAAATGTATTTGCTTTCATTCGTTTTCAAATGCATGCAATGCATTATTAATATGCACATGTAAATTGTGCAGTGAAATAAAAGGGCATTTTTTATTTATAATAACAAACACAAAACCACCATTGAGAGATGAATCGTTTGAATGTTTGAATACATTATCCATGTCAGCAAGCAGCTGAATAGTCACCCATCCAAATGATACGCAGCGTACAATCTCTTGACAGTAATTAATTCCTGCCACTGTCAGATTCATCTGCAATAATAGAGCAATTACTTTATTTAAGAGAACATTTACCGGAGAGACAAAGCCATAATTACTCTGTTATTGATCTGATGCAGGTTAATAGCACAATAGCAAACAAATGGTGTGATTGTGGGTTGCTTAAATTTTTTTGTTTTTAGGGGGAAATTTTAATAAATGAAATTAACTGTGTAAATGGTTGGTCACCATCTGCTTAAGAAGAGTGTATGGGTCATTCCTACTGTATGTACTGTACTTAACTTGTGTAAACAATTATCATCATCCTCCAGGAAGTGACATCATTTTGGTGGGAAAACAGCAGCTCAAACATTAGTAATATTCTCAATGATTTGATCAAATGAAATCTGTGATGTTTTGTGGTGTTTAGTTGGTTTGTGTCACTGTAAAACACTCCAGCCCATTTGATCAAATGACACAACTCAAATTTACAGTGTTCAAAAGGTTTGGAAGAACAAGAATGATTCATTTGTTTTTCTTCAACCTTTCCTTTTGTGCTGGATGGTTATTGTTTTTGCTGAGAGAAAAAAAAAAGGAAAAAGATTACTCTGCATTCCCTTGATGTGTCTACAGAAAATCAATAACTCTGTCTGCATGGGCTCTGGTGGTGGACGACGATGACAACTACTCAGGATGTGCCATGGACTAATGTGGAAAAATAGGAATTAAAACAAAATAGCTACATTCATTTGTTTTCCATCAGCCTCTGGAGAGATAGTGTGCAGCGTTCCTCTCAGTCTCATTATACTTTCTAATCAAGACTCTTTTAAAAATCCTTTTTAAGGCGACTGGCAGATTTGCCCTTCCCCCCGTTGTGCTGCTGCGCCTTGCCGTCATTGTGCTTCTGCTTATTACTTTACAAATGACCGAGGTGAAGCTGACATTTTCCCTGCATGCAGAAAAGCTCGGTATGTATGGCCTCTGCGGTAATGAATTTGCTTTGAGCTCTCGCTTCCCCCTCTGCTTTCCCAATCAAGATTCCCCAATATAATTACAATCACAGCATCTCACTACTGTCCCCAACGCCACTCCAAAAGCTGAGCTCAAACCAACAACCTCGGTCAAAAGAATACGAAGGCAAAATCAATGAGCTCGCAGGAAACCTGATTTAAATTCTGCAAGCTGAATAAGGATTTTTTTTTTCCACATCTTTAATTCAGGAGTGACTTTGTCAGTAAATTGGTCTCATACTGTTAAAAGGAGCGAGGTGTGAAATCACAGGCCGTGTGGAAAAAAACACTATCAATATTTTAACAGTTAACTTGGTCATTTTCACCTTCTCATATAAATATGTATTATGACAAATATTACACACCATTTGTGCTGGTAAAAAAACGGTCTAAATAGGCTTGTGCTCACAAATGATCCTTTCTCTCTTTTTTATTAACACATTAATTTATTCATGAATCCAATTGTTTATTAAAAATCAGCTGCAGCCTAAGATGATTTGCTGGTCTCCCAGTCTTGCAAAACTGGTTTTAGAGGGGTTTTGGGCACTTGTCAGCTGGTCAGGCTGGTTTAAATCAGGTGTTCTTACTGCTTTTCACTACTTCATGATTTGTCTTTGGACCCCCCCTTCAAATACACAGGTGAACTTAAAGAGATAGTTCTCCCAAAAATGAAAATTCTGTCATTAATTACTCGCCCTCATGTCGTTCCAAACGTGTAAGACTTTCGTTCATCTTCGGAACACACATTAAGATCTTTTTGATGAAATCTGAGGGACTTTCTGTCCCTCCATTGACAGCTACGCAACTACCACTTCAAAAAGTTCATAAAGAGATCGTAAAACTAATCCATTTTAATTGAGCGGTTTAGTCCAAATTTTCTGAAGCGACTCGATCGCTTTATATGATGAACAGATTGAATTTAAGCTTTTATTGACATTTAGACATTGATCAGCAAACAAACAGAAGCTCAACCGAACCTGCTTGACGAGCGAAAAACAAACCTCTTGCTGAAGCTCAAACGTGCTGCGTAACACGAGAATGAACCTCATTGGTTCTTGCTGAAGCTCAAACGTGATGCGTAACACGAGAATGAACCTCATTGGTTCTTGCTGAAGCTCAAACGTGCTGCGTAACACGAGAATGAACCTCATTGGCTCTTGCTGAAGCTCAAACGTGATGCGTAACACGAGAATGAACCTCATTGGCTCTTGCTGAAGCTCAAATGTGATGCGTAACACGAGAATGAACCTCATTGGTTCTTGCTGAAGCTCAAACGTGCTGCGAAACACGAGAATGAACCTCATTGGCTCTTGCTGAAGCTCAAATGTGATGCGTAACACAAGAATGAACCTCATTGGCTCTTGCTGAAGCTCAAACGTGATGCGTAACATGAGAATGAACCTCATTGGTTCTTGCTGAAGCTCAAGCGTGCTGCGTAACACGAGAATGAACCTCATTGGTTCTTGCTGAAGCTCAAACGTGATGCGTAACACGAGAATGAACCTCATTGGTTCTTGCTGAAGCTCAAACGTGCTGCGTAACACGAGAATGAACCTCATTGGTTCTTGCTGAAGCTCAAACGTGATGCGTAACACGAGAATGAACCTCATTGGTTCTTGCTGAAGCTCAAACGTGCTGCGTAACACGAGAATGAACCTCATTGGCTCTTGCTGAAGCTCAAACGTGATGCGTAACACGAGAATGAACCTCATTGGCTCTTGCTGAAGCTCAAATGTGATGCGTAACACGAGAATGAACCTCATTGGTTCTTGCTGAAGCTCAAACGTGCTGCGAAACACGAGAATGAACCTCATTGGCTCTTGCTGAAGCTCAAATGTGATGCGTAACACAAGAATGAACCTCATTGGCTCTTGCTGAAGCTCAAACGTGATGCGTAACATGAGAATGAACCTCATTGGCTCTTGCTGAAGCTCAAATGTGATGCGTAACACAAGAATGAACCTCATTGGTTCTTGTTGAAGCTCAAACGTGATGCGTAACATGAGAATGAACCTCATTGGCTCTTGCTGAAGCTCAAACGTGATGCGTAACACAAGAATGAACCTCATTGGTTCTTGTTGAAGCTCAAATGTGATGCGTAACATGAGAATGAACCTCATTGGCTCTTGCTGAAGCTCAAATGTGATGCGTAACACAAGAATATGAACCTCATTGGCTCTTGCTGAAGCTCAAACGTGCTGCGTAACACGAGAATGAACCTCATTGGTTCTTGCTGAAGCTCAAACGTGATGCGTAACACGAGAATGAACCTCATTGGCTCTTGCTGAAGCTCAAATGTGATGCGTAACACGAGAATGAACCTCATTGGCTCTTGCTGAAGCTCAAATGTGATGCGTAACACAAGAATGAACCTCATTGGTTCTTGTTGAAGCTCAAACGTGATGCCTAACATGAGAATGAACCTCATTGGCTCTTGCTGAAGCTCAAATGTGATGCGTAACACAAGAATGAACCTCATTGGTTCTTGCTGAAGCTCAAACGTGATGCGTAACATGAGAATGAACCTCATTGGCTCTTGCTGAAGCTCAAATGTGATGCGTAACACAAG